CTAATAACTGTGCCGGTCAGGCGCTGTGCGCAAACTAGTAACCTAACTAGTGCCCGATTCCGAAAATTGGAACCACGAAAAACAATAAAGAAAAAACAAAGATTATAATCTGTATAATCTGTGCTAGAGAGAGCCCTATATGACTTTTTTTCTTAAATTTTTTTGGTATGTCGCTTAGTTTTCGAGATATTCCACAAAATTTCGGACATAGCTCAGCTGCGTTCGAAAAATGTTACTTAATTAGCAGCATGCCTTGGAGAACTTAATTAGAATATGGTTTATAATACGAACTATCAATATTTCGGTTAGTTCTATCGATACCTGAAGTTATTCTAGTAAAATCTGAATCACCCTGTATAACTCATCATACATCATGCTGTTGTAGGGTGGACAGAGTATTTCCCATCCTCCTCTGACTACAGATTAGTGATGGGAATAATCGAATTATTTTCACCATCGAATAATTAGTAATAATTCATATTTCACAATCGAATTAATAATTCGAATTACTTAGTAGTATTATAAATTTAACCTACAAATAAATTCGTCCCAGCTAGTGCTCGTCTAGGGGCTATTTTAAACAAATTCTGAACCATTGCCATACATATATTCTATCACTGAATAAAAAATAAAAAAAATATTCTTTATTCAATGTATTCTATTAACTGTGCCGAAGCCGTTTAATAAATTAAATCATAATTTAAAGTTTTAAATTTAAAAGTGCCGAGTTTATGATTGTTTTAATTCCTATTGAAAAAAGCTCATATCTAAAATAAAAGGTTCTTCTAAAACGATATAAGTATGTCCTTGTTTACGTGCGGTTCGTATTTCTTTTTATTTTATCAGTTGCAATCCATAATTATTTAGATAAAAGAAGAAAATTAATTTTAGTGTTCGATGAAATTTGGGTGAGATGGAAATGAACCAAATAATAGTAGTATTCTTTCGTTCTGAACGAAATGAAAATTTTCACTTAAACTGATTTATTCCTACGTGGTATAGGAAATAACAATGATTTCTGGATTTTTCTATATCGGATCGTTCCTTTCTTTGTCGATTCCCTTCATAAATCAGTTTAAGTGAAAATTTTCAGTTCGTTCCGAACGAAAGAATACTACTAATAGTACTATACTAATTACTAATATTCGTATTCGTCCATAAGAGGTTATGTTTTATGTTGATTTGTAATTCGGTTACCACAGATATAATATAAAATACTACTAATTTTTATCTCGATTATATCGAAAAAGATAATTCGAATTAGTTAGTTTTAATTTACTATCGAATTAGTCGTATTATTTAATTCGAATTTTCCCAACACTACTACAGATGCTGGAGATCTTCAGAGGAGTGGACATCTACCTCATACTAGAGTATACAAGAGAGGTAGGAATTCTAGTTCCCTACTTCTAGTTCCTCCAGAGGAATAGTTCCTTGAACTAGGTCTTTGGTTCACAATAGTTCCCGACTAACATTGACATCCCCGTTGCTTGCTAATGGGTTTCGTTGTCAGTCAGAACTATTTACAGTATGATCTGTATAATTTTTATAATGTACGAAATATATCGAGACGTGTAATTGTGTACCTTTGTGAAAAATATATAAGTAACTTTTATTGCAAATAAAAAAAATAAAATAAAAAAAAATCAAATCAGAGTTTAAAAACTATATTACAAATCAATTGGGGCAAATAATACGCAATTTTTACGAAAAATTGCATTTTTCCTCACTTCCAGCTTCTTTTTCTCTATCAAAATTTAGAATATTTACTTCGTTTTATAAGATTTTAGTGACCTAAACATTCCCATAAAATATTAAAAAAAAAACTAAAAATCAAAAACAGTATCCACGACAATTTTCTGTGGTAATTAAGCCTGCTGTGGCAATAGACAAGGCCGAATCCATCGTCGTGTCGCCTTGTATTATATCTCGGATCTGCCGACTGAATAGAATCCCATGAACTAGTCTTTTAATTAGTTCCTCTCGGTCCTTTCGGTCCGGGACAGGTAACATACGGCTGACACTCCACTCCCGCCTAGCATTGGGCTAAGATCACGCTGGCCAATCCGTACGTAAACTAGTCTTTTATTTAGTTCCTCTAGTTCCTTTAGGTCCGGATCGATAACATACGGTTGGCATTCCCCACTCCTCCCTAGCATCGAGCTACGATCGCGCTGGCCAATCCGTCGCCGTCGCATATTATTATATATCTGTCTCTCGATCCCGGAATAGGTCCTAAGGAACTAGTTCTTTGAGAGACCTGGAACTAGTTTCGTTCATTCCTGGGTCAGAATAGTTCATTGGAAGTAGTTCGTTCACGAACTACACACCTCTACTTCACCGTCTGAGGTACCTGTGAGGTGGAGGCTGGAAGATCTATCTCCATTTTGATGATTTCCGATCTAAACCATCTCAAATATTATTCTTTACTAGTCTTAATGAAGCAAATTTACACTATTTAGGAAATTCTTTGTTCTGAATTTGACATTTTTTCTTGTATAAAATTATTTAAAATCTTCCTCAGTACGGTCCTGTTTGAACGTTACCAGCACAATCGCCGGCAAAAGACAAACGCAATTCACATAATAAGAGACACGCATATTTTTCGAAGGTGTTTAATATTTATTGACTTTTAAATCAGACATTTTGTTGGTGCGATTGACAACGTACAGTGTGGTCTAAAAGTTGCATAACTAAAAAAGTCTCTGGGGAGCATCTACTTAAGGTAACCTAGGGATTTTGTTTCAAACTCTATCTTTTTGTAAAATGTTTTAAACATATTATATCCTGTCAATTCTCGTAATGCAGTTTTTCGATTACAAAAAGTTGCGAGATCTCATTGTGTGATGTTACCATTGACACTGACTAATACAGGGTGAGTCTGAAACACGATTATGAGGTTTTTTTCGCGCACATTTTTTGTTGAAAATTTGAATTTTTTTTAAAAATGTTGATTTTTTTTTGGTTTTTAGTTAAAAAACATAATTTCTTGATAATATGGCAACATAGGTAGATTAAATTTACAAGAAACAAACTCCAGAAAAGATCCAGTGGTTCTCGAAATCTCTTTAGAATTTGAAGAACTGAATTTGAGAAATTTATTTTTAATTTTAAGTTTTTACAGTTGTATTTTATTAAATGCTTATTTTTTCGGTTAGCAGATTTTCTATAGTTTTATTCCAAAAATATAGTAATGCCAATATCCAGTGGCGGACACAGAGGGGGGGGCATGGGGCCCGGCCCCCCCTAAAATCTGTAAATTGTGTAAAATATTAGGCTTTTGGGTTAAAAATGGCGCCCTAAAAAGCATATTCTTTATTACTTTTTATTTTGCCCCCCCCCCCAAAATAAATTCCTGTATCCGCCCCTGCCAATATCAATAACATGTGGTTTGTGCTATTGTGTGATGTTGCCATTGACACTCACTAATACAGGGTGAGTCTGAAACACGATTATGAGATTTTTTTCGCGCACATTTTTGTTGAAAATTTTTTTTTTCGCAATTTAATTACGTCTCGTGATACTTAATTTGTTTATTTATTAACGAGTCGTTGTAATTTTACTCCATTTAGACTATAATTTCCGTAAATTTAAATTCTCTCAAAAATTACAAAGCATTGATGGTTTTTTACAGGGGGTATTCTATACCCCCTGTAATGCTTACTTTTTAATAGAATGACTGTAAAGGAGATTATATTGCGTAAAGGAGATTATATTACTAGTATATCTACAGTGTGAATCAAAAACAAGACACGTTGCTGTGTATGTATACTAAGGGTTGGCAAAGGTTAGTCTTGGGTCGAGATTTCCGTATGTAAAAAGAGTACAATGCGTTTATAATGTACTGAACAAAGAGAGGACAGTAAACACGTTGCCAAACGTATGAAATAAACCGAGAAACTGGGCACATCGCTAAGAGACGTGGAAGGGGATATAGCAGATTTGTCGCAGTTGACCGGTCGACCCAATCAATACAATACCTCTGTCAGTACTTAAAGTTCTAGGGAGAGGTGTACGTCATGCGTTTAGCTTCACGATTTAATTACGTCTCGTGATACTTAATTTGTTTATTTATTAACGAGTCATTGTAATTTTCCCTATAGCTTGAATTTTTTTAAGTGCAAGCTAGAAACACTTGCATTTTTGGTAAAAATAAGTGGAATTGAGTGGGTGTTCGATAGTGGTCGCGCTATTAGAACTCTGAATTCAAAAATCGATATCTCGAAATCTATTAGAAATAATAGATTGTAGTTTTTTCAAGAACTTTGTTAATATTTCTGCTGTATTATCTTTGTAGACAGTATGTGAAAATCTTTATCAATAAAAAAATTACACGATTGCTGAAAATTGCTCTGCTCTAAAAGTAAATGGACGGATTGTTTACAATTTTTGAATGGAAAAAACAACCTTATCGAATTTTTCTTGTGTAAACATATTGTAAAATATCCGATCTTAAAAATAAAAAAAAATTCAATATCTAAAGTGGTTCTTGAGTTATGGCCCGTTATGTGTTAAAAAGTTGACTTTTTAAATTCGCGATTACTGACGTTTTCTCGTTATAAAAAAAATGACACCCTAACGATATCCTTATAATTCCATTTCAAATGCTTAGAAACATGTCTAATGATTTTATCTAGTTATCTCTTGAAAAAAAAGTCTTTTAAAAATAAGCGGTTTGCGATCGTGATTTTACTTTACTTGATAGGGAAAGGCGTATCGGCAACGCCGCAACAGCACACCGTCGCGCCTCGCGTCGGTCGGTCGCATTTTTCTCACTCCGACTTAATAAGATCCCTATGCGATTTACTTCCACACATGTAAATACCGACCCAAAAGTAACAGTTGCCAGCACGGTATCATAAATCCATATTATATTTAACTTTATTTATTTATTTGATTATACATGATATATTGTGACTTAAATTTAATAAATATGAATCATCATTGCATAGTCCATGCTTTTCTTAATAGTCGATGAGATTTAAGAACAAAGACACACATATTTTAAGATATTTTATTAAAAAATATATTTTTACAAAACGATTTTATACAAAAAAAGGAAGATCATAATATCTTACTACATATAATATCCAAGGCACGTAATCTTAATAATTACAACAAAACAAAATCCAAATTTTCTTATAACAATTTCAAAGCACTCTGTTTCAAGTCTTTTTTCACTGTCAGACAGTTCAAAAGTTCATTTTTTTTAAACATTTCACTAATCTCCTTCATCTCCACTGCTGGTTTTATTGATGATCGAATCTATACTGAAACTGGTCGTACTAGAACTGGTACTAGGGGAACCAGATGCTGAAGCGTTGCTAGCGCCTAAATTATGCGTCAAACTATGTCTTCTCAGGTCGCAGTTTCTTCGAAATACTTTGCCACAGGAGGAGCAGTTGTATGGTTTGATGTCTGTGTGGGTGAGTAGGTGAGTTTTGAGGTTGGAACGCTGGTTGAAGGAACGGGAGCATACAGGGCACTTGTGAGGTGATTCCTCCATGTGGAGGATCTTGTGGACTGCTAGGGTTCGGGACTGGCAAAAACCTTTACCACACTCTGTACATTTGAATGGTTTTTCTTTGGAGTGGATGTATCTGAAAAAAAAAAGAAATATAAATGATAAAATTGTGAAAATTTTAGGATTTGTAGGAAATTTAAAAAATTTAAAAGCATTAATGCTTCAGTTTTATAAGAAAATAAATTTTTTCAACCCTCTATTTTTTACTCGATTTCACAGTACCTAGAAAAATAATAAACATAGAGAAAAAATTATGAAAATTTCCAGATTTGTAGAAAATTTTATATACTTTTATAATATACAGGGTAACCTAGGCTAAGCGTGCATTAGAAGTTTCTAGAGAACTAAAATATCTATAGATCGGATATTTTTTGCAAATTATTGTTTCACAACGAGATCTATCGGTTAAAAATATTTTCAATATATTTCCGAAAATACCGGAAGTTGACAGTAACTGTCTTATTTTAAATGGGCGCCCCCATTTTTTATTACATACTTAAATTCTCTGTAAAATTCTATGAATATTAAACACTCTATGTAGTCTGTAAAACGAATAACTTTGAATTTGCTGACGCATGCTGACGCAATGCCATCTCTAATAGAACAGCCTCAGAGCGAGATTTATGACGTCACACTAGTTAGATACTACGTTGTAGAATACATGGAAAACATAATTATTCCTCGTATTTTTGGTTTGTATTTTAAAAATGATATAGTTTACATGAAATATACATAATATACAGTTAATAAATACAATATATATATATATATATATAGCAGAAAGTAGTCTCGACTGACTAGTGAGAAAGAAAATCTGGGATTTAGTGGGGTTGCAGTCGGAAGGGTTTGGAAAACCAAACCCTTCCGACTGCAACCCCACTAAATCCCAGATTTTCTATATTTATATATATATATATATATATATATATATATATATACCTATATATAGTAATAAATACTTTAGCATATAAACTATGAACCATACAAATGCAGCAAATGTTTCACAATATGGTTGAAATCGTACTCCATTGTCAATGTAGATAGTTTTTGAGTTAAGAATAATAATTTTAAAAAATATGTGGTCATCTTTTGACAAGTTTATATTAGTTTATTAATTGCAGTAAACATTATAATATATAAATACATTTTGTGAATGCAATAATAATACATCACTATTAGTAGATATTGAATGTTTTTCGTTAAATTAGATCGATTTTCAAACCACAAAATTTAAAATATATTTTACATTTTACCCATTATCTTATGTACAACCTATTCATTATTTGTGTTTTGTAAAATATTTGCTGCATTTGCATGGTTCATAGTTTATTTGCCAAAATATTTATTACTATAAATAGGTATATATTATATTGTATTTATTAACTATATATTATGTATATTTCATGTAAACTATATCATTTTTAAAATACAAACCAAAAATACGAGGAATAATTATGTTTTCCATGTAGTCTACAATATATTTATTAATCCCTAGTATCTAACTAGCGTGACGTCATAAATCTCGCTCCGTGGCTGTTCTATTAGAGACGGCATTGGTCTAATATTTAGAAATGTCAAAAGCTGATGACATTTTACTTTTGTCAATTATGACATTTCGTGTTGATTTTTGCAAGAAGAGGAAGAACTGTCACTTGTTTTATTATTTTCCTTTTCTATTTCACGAAAGTAAAAAGAGTTACCTATCTGATTCGTTCAGGCACTCAAATTAAAGAATATCAGTAACTTTTTTGACAGAGGGATTTTATATTTGCCATGTTGGTAAAAAATAAGTTATTCATTTTATAGACTATACCTAACATTAACCGTTTATGAGAAAAAATATTTAAAATTTTTGGACGAAAAGAAACCATAAAAAGGGGTCATGTAGCTATCTATTTCAAAAATTAAATTGTTGGAATGTCATATAATATTGGCCGCAGCTGTTATGGAATTGAGCGATTAGAAAATTATCTTAAATATTTTTTTTTTCAAATGGCAATCCACTTTTTTATTTCACTAGTGAAAAGGCTTTTCTTTTTGTTACTTTTTGACTATACATATTCCGATACCTAAAATAAACCGTTTTTAAGTTATTGAAGATTTAGTTTTAAGGCGTAGATTTTTCTTGATTTTAACCAGTAGCCTATGACTTTAAACGTCAAGTGATGTAAAACAAAGATCTGGTCATATCATATTGTGACACCACGGGGGTGTCACTTGTATGGGAAAACAGGCAACAGTCAAATTTAAACGTGCCAGGATAAACGACAAAGAAAGCAACATCTGCCAGGCATTGGCTTTCTTTGTCACTCACATTGCTTAAATCATGATACCGCGGCCATTTTGTCAACAAAGAAGCTGGCCGGCTGTCCTGGCAAGTGATTTAAAACAATTTTGCTTTTTTACAATATTAAATTACCATTTGGATGTATTTAATGCGATTATTCAATTAACTGGTAAATCAGAAATTACACACAAATACTTTATTCGTAAATACAACTAAGATGTAAACGTATTTTTGTATTTTTAGATTTCAACTTTTGCAAAGACCCGCCGATAGAACTTGCCTGGCAGCGTACCTGTTTAACTAAACGTATTATTTCCTGATAATAATATCAAAACACGTAAGTACCTCTATAATTTATGATGAAAAATTATTTTGATTATGTTTTATGTTATTTAAATACTTTCTAACCTCAAATAATAGTATCCTTGTTTATATCGCACAGCCCGTTCAAAACTGTATTGCCTTCAAAAAATGTTTACAAAACAAACAATTGTTACAAAAACAATGTCCTTTTAATCTGATTTATACCTCAGAAGGATGTCAGTAAAATTTTATTAAATCAACATTATATTATTTGGCCATTAATATGCAAAAAGGAGCATATTGCCTTAACTTAAATTTTCTTTTACTTCTCTTGACAATGTTCTCTATATTCTCTATTTTGAGTTAGTAAACTTTTGAACGGGATGTGCGATATATAAAATACATAATATATCCAAGGGTATGATCTGATAAAAGTATTTTTTGATGCATTTTTTGGTTGTTTATGCACGTTGGCTTGGTTTATGTCAGCTTATATTTATTTGGTATAATAATTTTTTTGCCTTTGGAATGGCATGTATTGAGGCTAGATAGTGTTTCATTAGATCATTAAAGGAATTTAAATTAGCACATATTTTTTGTGATATTAGTGTGTTATTATGATACAACTACTAGGTAGTTGTATCATAGTGCCTTATGCATGTTATTTACCTATTATATACTTATGTATTATCAGTAAATAGATGATAACATAGGTACTACTAAAATGTATTTTTAATAGTATGTTTATCTTTCCAATTCACTAGTTATTTGCAAAATGTATTTTGAACTAATTTAAGTCATTAATTGATCATCTTTCTTTTTCAGGTTCTGGGATATTCTTTTTCATTGTTAAAAAAATATATATGTTTTAATATTATTGTAATATAAATCGCAGCTCTAAAAATAAATGATATTGTTTACTAAATGTGTAATTTATTTACTATGAATTTTCTCTGAAAATAATAAGTCTTTAATAATATCATTGATTTGCTATATAAAGTTAATACACATATTTTTTAATACGTTAAATTATATTAAAGTAATAAAAAATATGTTTATTAACTTTAAACAGTAAATCAGTGATGCTTATAAAAATATTTTTAAAAAATTTCCCCTCTTCTAAGCCCCGCCCCTCCAATTCCCCTCAATTTAGCTAGTACTGCCAGGCTACACCAGGTGGCGTGTGTTTCCATTTTTTATCATGAAGTTAGCATTTCTTTAATGTACCTATTCTCTGTGTGACACTTTCTTCAAAGAGCAGTAAGCAGTTATCGATCATCATTTCCAAGCGAACTTTGCGCTGTTTTTTTTTTTCGATCATACGGAATATTATTAATAACATCAACTATCAGAACTATTTTTATAAATACACTTTTTCAACTCTTAAGGGGGGCAGGCAGTATTTATAATATAGGAAATTCAAATAATTCGTTTTCTGACAGATGGAAATAGATTGTCTGACTGTTTGACACTTAATGTCAAAGGAAGCTAGATAAAATCAATAAAAATATACGTTTTCAAATTAAATCTTAAATAACTTAAAAACGATTTATTTTAGGATAGGAACATGTATAGTTAAAAAGTAACGAATTGAAAAAGTTTTACACCAGTGAAATAAAAAAAGTGGGTTTCCATTTGAAAAAAGTGATTTATGATAATTTTTTAATCGCTCGATTCCATGACAGCTACCGCCATTATTATATGACAGTTGAACAATTTAATTTTTCTAATAGATAGCCACATGTCTTCTCTTTATGTCAAACTGGCTCTGGTAATGCCGCCATATTGAAAATATTTTTAATCGATAGACCTCATTGTAAAATAATGAAGCGCAGAAAATCTCCGATCTACATATTGTGGTTCTCTAGCAACTTTTTTTGAATGTGAATTTTTATCCATCAAAAAAAATATTAAGTTTTTTGTACATTGTCTTACTAGATAACCTAATTAAGTTTGTATTTGTTAAAATTACTTTTTTCTCGCAAAATACCTATGCTTGTCTAACATTTAAAACTAGTTTCGTTCAGGGTATTTTGCTAGTTCTGTAGAGACGTCTGAACAGTCGGCACACCACGAAGAAGAATACCCATATTGTTTCTCTAAATGACTCTGTACAATGCCAACGACCGAGCCTCCTTGCATTTTCAAAGTGTGGCGTCATCTTTCTTAGGCAATAACGCATAACGGAATTTATGAATAAATGAGTACCCAGCTACATTTACTTCGTCTTCTATTTTAATGCGGAATAGTTAAATTTATTGTTTTTTTTTCACGAGCGTCATAAAATTTTAATGATTTTTTTTCATTAAAATAATATTTTTTAACAAAGCAAAAAAGAGATTGTTATAAATAGTATTTATTTCTTACTGAATTAACATAAGCTTAAATTGTCCTGGTGATAACTCCGTTGGGACATTATAAACGTGAATTAAGATGCCATAATTCCCTCTAACTTTTATAGGCAACAACCATGAAATATACTCAAG